GAATCAGGAGTCCTGACCCCCAAGTCCTCCTCCCTCAGACCAGGAGTCCTGACCCCCAGCCCTCCTCCCTCAGACCAGGAGTCCTGACCCCCAGTGCCTGTGTCAAGGTCACTCGAGAAAAGTGTCTTGGCACTGGGCAGTCTGGGCCATCCTTCCTGTGGGGATCTCAGAGTTCTGCATCTGCCTAGATTATGGGGTGAGACTCCCTGCACCTGGCCCAGGAGCCTCTCAGGTAGAAAACGCAGAACTGGATGTTCTGCACTGTGAGACTTCCCCCAGCAGGAGACTTGGCTGGCTTTCCTGGAAGACAGGCAGGGTTAGCCGGTCCAAAGAAGAATTGATGGAAGACCCCAGAGGCAGGACCCTCCCCCCCGCCCCCCCCCAGCTTAGTCCGCTGCACTACCAGAGCCCTGAGAGCCGGGAGAGGCACCAGGGGGCACTAGAGAGTAATGGAGAGACTGACTGGGACGGACAGGCCCTGTGCCAGAGCCAGAGCGGTGGTCTCAGGCTCACAGGCCGACCCTGAGAGGCAGAGGCCAGACAGGACCAGGGGGCTGTGCTCCTGGGCTGGCCCCAACTTGGTGGTTCTGACTAGGTGTGAGGTCAGCAGGTCCGAGGCGGTGTGTGTCCGTCTGTCTGTCCCTGGGGGGTCCTGTCTGGCCTCTGGGGGTGACTGGGCAGGCTGGCCACAGAGGCAACCCAAACCTGTCATTAGTGGCCAGAGCCTTGCAGGCAGCCCCCCCCCCCCAACCCAAAGCCACGGCCTTGGGCCACGGCGGCCCCACCCCCACCCCCTCCTTGTTCCCTGTGGAATCCAGGGAATTGGGAAGCAGGTCTGGATGATGTGGATACAGGAAATGGTCCCAGCTGCCCAGCCTCAGCCCCTAAACCCCTGTGACCCAAGCCCCCGGCCCCCTGCCGAGCCCCTCCAACCCATGTCATCAATGACGCCTAAGCACTGGAGCCCACTCAGCAACCCCCAGGATGTTTACGGGACACAGGGGGAGGCGGGGGGGAGAAGTTGGTCTGGATACCCAGAAGGCTTAAGCCCTCTGACCAAGCGCTTAATCCCAGCCCTCCTCCCTCAGACCCTGGGTCCTGACCCCCAGCTCCTCCTCCCTCACACCACGAACCCTGAACCCCAGCCCCTC